TAGGTGTGTGTGTTAGGAGTGTTGTCCTAGTGGGGAGGTGGAGGGGTTGTGAGTGTTTGGGTTTTGTTGGTGTGGAGAAAAGTTGAGAGAGTTTTTCTGTATTTGGCGATGTATCTGTGTGTGTGTGTTTGTGTGTGTGTGTGTGTGTGTGAGTGAGGGGAAGAGGTTGCTGGTAAGAGTATTTTATTGAAAGGTTTGTCTGGATTATGTGTGTATGTGTATGTAAATAAATAAATATATACTGCGAGTATAACTTCTAAAACTGACAATTTAATTTAAAAATAAACTTACATCTCTTTAGAAGTTGGTGGGGGAGTACAGTATGTTGGGGCTGAAGCATTTGGGAGGAGGACTTTGGATCCACGTTTCTCATCAACCTGTTCACCCAACAAGAACGACAGAAAATAATAAAAATGAAATGAAAAAAGGGGAAGAGAGATAAAGGTTCCGTCCTCTTGCTCTTTGGACACAACCAGGCCAGCTTTTGTTGTGTTGTGGGTGTGTGTGTTACTGAATGTGTTGAAGTGACCGCTAAAGGAATGCCCCTCTGTTGTAAACTTAGTGAAAAGAACAGTTTAAGTTACAGTTGTGTCGGCTCAAATGTTTGTCTGATATATATAGGAGTCAACCTTTGTATATTCGTTTTACCCTTAAATATTTTCTATGTTATTTGTTGGGTCTGGCTCAGAAAGCTAAACTATGTAATGGTTGTTTTTTTTCTTATTAGTTTTGTTTTATTCCCATCGTACTTAGGTACGGTTGGTGTTGCCGCCTGTGATAATATTCTTTTCAACTATTTTTGTCCATGTTTGACAATATCATGAAAGTGAAGCCGTCCATTAGGAATCTTAGTATAATTGTGTTATACACACACAGAAATGATGTGTTAAAAGATGTAAATTTACTTGTATCAACATATCAGTGGTGTGTCCATCTTTCTTATGTGGAGGAGGCAGTTTTTTTGAAACAATGCACAATGTATTTTGTGGTATTTATTCTATTTTCTGCTGAAAAGACTGAATGAATAAACATGTTCCTATTTCTCTTCACAACAATCTTTCGCCTAGGTCATGGTGTTGTCCTGTTTATTAAAAAAATTTTTGTACCTTTTTTTTTAAAATCATATTTTTTTTTTGGCAAGTGTTTTA